TTTTTTTTTTTTTTTTTTTTTTTTTTTTTTTTTTTTTTTTTTTTTTTTTTTTTTTTTTTTTTGTAAGAGTTCAATCTAACTACGAGTAGATATTGTCTTTTTTGGACTTTATCTTCTACTTCACGACTGTGGGTACGGTTCAAAATCTTTGATAAACTCAATTTTCTCCAACACGAGCTTCGTTCCTTGTAAGAGCCCAAACCCATCAGTAACCGATATTGTCATCTTTGGACTTCGACTTTCCCTAAGTTTTCACTTAAGGTTTTAAAACACGTCTACTAAAGAGAAATTTTCACAGGAGTGTTTCATTCTCATATTCAACCAACGTGGGATCTCACAATCCACCTCCTTTGAAATCTAACATCTTCGTTGACACAGTTCTCTAGTATCTGGCTCTGAAACCATTTATAAGCATAAGTTCGCACAACGTATTTGTTTTCTGTGGACTTTCACTTGGACGACATCACATTTGTTAAATTAAACATTAAACCATATATATATATATTGGGTTCTTACAATCTTATTAATGTCTCCCCAAACAGCTTCTAATTGCTACACCACCAACTACATCATCGGCGAATGCAGGATCTCAACATCCGCCACAAGAACCGCCATCCTTATCGGAACCCTCATCGGCGGAGCCACCGTACTGGTTACTGTATGCTTCTTCTGCTACTTCATTCGCCGTCGTTCCAATCTCAAATCCACACACATCCAAAAAATCACCAAACGTCGCCTCTCAGAAGCCACCGCCGGAAAATCCCCCATCCATATCTACACCTACAAAGAGATCCAAAAAGCCACCCAAAACTTCTCCAACGACCACCGCCTCGGAACCGGCGCCTACGCCACTGTCTACGCCGGAAAATTACGCAGCGATAAATGGGTAGCTATCAAACGCCTAAAAAATCAAGACCCTGACACCATCCAACAAGTCCTTAACGAAATCAGTCTCATCTCCTCCGTCAGCCACCCGAACCTCGTCCGCCTCCTCGGCTGCTCCATGGAATCCGGCGACCAAATCCTCGTCTATGAATTCATGCCCAACGGCACTCTGTCACAACATTTACAAAAACAGAGAGGCACCGGTCTCCCCTGGCCCGTCCGTTTAGACATCGCCGTCGAAACCGCCGATGCAATTGCCCATCTCCACTCTGCAATTAACCCACCGATCTTCCACAGAGACATAAAATCCAGCAATATTCTACTCGATCAAAATCTGAAGTCAAAAGTGGCGGATTTTGGGCTTTCAAGATTGGGGATGGCGGAAATTTCCCACATCTCGACGGCGCCGCAGGGGACGCCGGGGTATCTCGATCCGCAGTACCATCAGGATTTTCATCTCTCCGACAAGAGCGACGTGTACAGCTTCGGCGTCGTTCTGGTAGAATTGATCACCGCCATGAAAGTGGTGGATTTCTGCCGCCCGAAAAACGAGATCAATTTGGCAGCTCTGGCCGCCGATAAAATTGGGAGTGGGCGGCTGAGGGAGATTGTGGATCCGTTGATTGAGATAGATAAAGATGAATGGAGGATTTCTTCGGTGGAAAAAGTGGGGGAGGTGGCGTTTAGATGCTTGGCGTTTCATAGGGATATGAGGCCGTCGATGGTGGAGGTGGCGGCGGAGCTGGATGAGATACGGCGGCGCCGGTGGGAAGAAGCGGGGTTGAAGTGCAAGGAAATGGGTTTAGTAGTTGAAAGTGAGAGCTCGAAATCGAGCCATGGAGGCGGAGATTACTTTTCTCGAGCCTCTGTTGAAGATTCATGGCAGAGTGAACAGAGCTCACCGTCCTCGAGTAGTTTGTTAAATCACGTCATTTTATAATAAGAAAAAAAAAAAAAACAGTTTATTGATTCACTCCTGATATCTTTAGAGTGTTGTTAACAAAAACCTTTGGTGATTGACAAAACGTCCTACTATTGACACTTGCAAAAGTTGCTTTCAAGGTCTTGTCGATTCAGTGAATCGCTTGAGCCCTGATACGTTTTCAATACCATGGAGCTAGACCAGTGAGCTATTACGCTTTCTTCAAAGGATGGTTGCTTCCAAGCTCACCTTTTAGTTCTCATCGCTCGATCACTTCGGTTTCCACTAAGTAACTGCTTAGAAACTTTATTCTATAGCAGTTAATTTTCCACTAATAATCTTAAATTTTTCATATAATAAATAATATTCAATAATTAAATATGAGACTTAAAATAGGAATATTTTAATTAAAAAAAATTGATCAACAAATTATTTGATAATATTCAATAATTTTTTAAAAAATATTTATGAATTTTTATAATAGTTGTTAGGTATTTACGTCATTAATTAATGGTCAAACATAAATAAATTCCAGCTTTTGAGAAAAATAATTAATAGATAAAAAAGAGCATTTAATTCACGAGAAAATAATTGTCTCAAACACAAACACATGTTCGGTTCATAACAAAATACATTAATTTTTAAATTTATTATTCCTTAAATTCATTATGTTTACAAACGTATTTTTAAATGACTAAATCAATATATTACATACATTAATTTAATTATAAAAATACACATTTCCATATATGGTAATTATTCACATATATTTTTATTTTATAAATATTCAAGTAACAACATTCCATATATTCATGCATGGATTAAAAATAAATATAAATGGTAAGAAATTTAATTTAAATTATTTAAAAATCTGATATTCTTTTTTAAAAATTAAATATTTAAAGTTAAATGACATATTTTAATATTTAATTAGCAAATAAAAATAAAGATTAAATTTCATGGTAAAATATTGAGATCTGGTGGGGGCCACAATCATTTTTGTTTCTAAGCCCATTACTTAGCTGTTATACACATTTTTTACCCCACAAGAAGAATCCCGAACTTACCTGACGGTTATTTTCATTTACCCTTCAAAAGCTTGCCTTCTTCAGGGAAGTTACCGTGACGGCGGCGCCCAACGGCGAGACGGCAGCTTCGACGTCGAAGGTATCATATCGGAGGAAGAGTTCGACGAGAAGAAGGCGAGAGATGAAAACGACAAAGTCCTTTCCGACGCACTGCTTGTCCTTAAGTGACGGCGTTTGAGTCTCCGGACCGTTTGACCAGAGCACGTGCTGCAGTAACTTTTCGCCGTCACCGATGAACCGATCCGGCACGAATTCGTTGGCTCTGTCGAAGATTTTCGGATCTCTGGTCGCAAATGGCTGATACCCACAAATCATTTCCCCTTCTTTGATCTCGAACGCCGCGTCGTGGCTTTCTATCACAAGATCCTGCTTCGCCCGACCGTACTGAACTGGCACCGGCGGCTCGATTCTGAACACTTCGTACACCACCGATTTCATCAACGGCATCTGTTCCATAGCCGCCATTGTGATTTCCCCGCCGTGGGCTTTAACGGCGGTACGAATCTCCTGCGCGAGTTGGCCGTGTAGAGTTGCTCCGGCGCGGCCAAGCCATTTGAGCATATTGGGGAAGAAAATCTTCATTCCTCCGAATGAATTGAAACATGTCGCGAAGAGCAAGTTATGGCAAGCTTCTTCCCTCGAAATCCCCAATTTCTCGGCTTCTTCAAACACCGCAGCCGACGACTGGTAAAAGAAGTCGTAAAGCCGCTGGTAATCGGCTTTAACCAGCGCCGGTGGTAGCCGGACTGTGCGGAGGAGGAGCTCCTCGGCGAACTTGGGGAGGCCGAGATTTAAAACAGGGCCAAGCTGGAACAGAACCCATTTCCCAATCAATTTCGGAGCGTCTTGGCCCAATTTGGTATTCGCCGGATTAACACCGTAGAGAGATCGAGCCAAGAAATTAAACGCCGCCTGTTCACCGGGATCATTGTACTTTGCTCTACCGGTGGCGGCCAAATCCTTCTCCAGAGTATCGAAAAGCTCTGAAAAAACAGAGTGAAATTCCGGCTGGATTTTATCCCGGCGGTACTTGAGGAGGAAGAACAGCAGTTGCTTAAGCTTCTGGTGAATCGGCTCCGACGGATCAATATAAGACAGAACCCGGTAGCCGCCGGTGAGTTCCGTTGAAGGCATGTAAGTTCCGGTGAAGAGATCCTTCTTCTCAACCTTAGAATTGTCGAACAAAACAGGGAAACTTTTGCCGTCGAGCAAAACGACAACTCGAGGATCGGAACTGATGAACGGACCCGGCGGCATATTGGTTCTGTAAACAGTGGATTCATACCGATGCATTCGAGATTTCAAATACTCTTCTCTCCCCTGATTGTAAAAATAGTCTTGCCGGTCCTTCAACGCTCCGAGCACCGGCGGACCATAGTCGCCGGGAATCTTCCTCAACGGAAGCTTCGTCGTCCGCTGCGGCGTTTGAACGGACGGCGACGACTGATCCACCGCATAGATTTTGGGTAGAGAAACAGAGCCCACCTTTGAACGACGTCTCGCCGGCGCTTTTTGCGACGGGAACCGCCATGAAGGTTGAAGACAAGGGATTGTTATGGAGGATACCGACATTCTTGCTCAAATTTTCTGAAACATTAATTTGATCGAAAAATGGGGAAATTGGAGAGTGGGATTTTGTGAGAGATGAAGTAGGAGGATGGGTTGTATTTATATGTAAATATAATTTTAACAAACCATTATTGTTAATATTATTGTCATAACCAGATTAATAATATTAATATTAATATTTGTGAGGATAAAAGTCTTGCTAATTTATGAAATAATCATGCGTTTATAAACAAATAATACTTTTTATATTGTACAGAGACTTTCTGAAAAGCCCAAAGCAAGCTCACGAGAGATTATACTCAAAGTCGACAATAAAATATGTCTATATAATTAAAATTTTTCCTAAACCCAAAAATAAATAAAATAATTTTTTTTAATGTCCAACATAATTAAAATTATTTTAAATTAAATTATCAAAGTCTGTGGAGAAAAATTAAATTTAAATGGAATAATAAACCTACCATATCAAATAATTAACTTTTCAATTTTAAATAATTAATTTTTTTGTATTTTTTATTTCTTTAGTCATTTTAAAAATACAAGATATTTTAATAAATTTTTATTTCACTTTATAAGGAAAATTGTTGTAAGAGCACAAATATCAACACCAATTAAAAACAGCATTGGAAAATGGAAAATAAGGGTGTTTCGTACATCTGTCATCCATTCACAATTTTCAAAATTCTAAATTAAAGTTAAAATACAAAATAAATAAATAAATAAATAAAAGTCTAAAAATATATTTTGAAATAACGTATGTTAAAAAAATTGATATAATTAATGTAAAATATGAAAAATAAAATATTCAAACAAAATAAGGGATCGTTGAAATTAAAAATTTATTTACTAAAATAATTTTTATTAAATAATTATCCAATCTAATCCAATTATAATATTTATGAGTAGAGCTGACAAGGAATTCTATTAATAACGAGGCGTTATTTGAATGGATCACATTCAATTCAAATAAGTTTATAACTCAATCCAAATATTACAAAAAAAAAAAAAAAAAA